CTCTGTGGTTGGGAGTGTAAGATAACACGGCCACTTTGGCAGCTTGTCAAAAAGTTGAATAGAAATTAACAATATTAGTCAGCAATTCCACTCCTAGGTATATATATCCCAAAGAAATGAGCACAAGTTTCATATAGAAACTTGAATGTGAACATTCATAGTAGCATCATAATAGTCAAGAAGTGGAAACAACTTACACATTCACTAACGAATGAATGAATGAATGAATGAAAAAAGTGTGGTATTCCCTTCAGTGGAAAACTACTGTGCAAAACTATGTTAGGCAAAGGGAGCTAAACACCAAAAACATGTATGAATGATTGTTTTAAATGAGATGTCCAGAAAAGGCAAACCTATGGAAATAAGAAGTAAATTAGTGGTTACCTACAGCTGGAGGTAGGCAAGAAGTCTTTTTGGGGTGATGGAAATATTCTAAAATTAGGTTGTGATGGCCATACATCTCTGTACATTTACTAAAAATCATTAAATTATTGAAAATAAGTGACTTGTCTCTATATACAAATAAATAAATTAATGGAGATGTTAAATGTTTTGACCTGATCTGTATGATAGCTAGAAAGTGATTTTGTTCCTTCCTATTGCTAGTTAGTGCTCCACTGCATGGATGTCCCATAGGTTGTTGGTACTGGGGTTTGAACTCAGAGTTTCATACTTGCTAGGCAGCCGCTCTACCTCTTGAGTTACTCTCCCAGCCCTTTTTTGTGTTGGTTATTTTTGAGACAGGGTCTTGCCAACTATTTGCTTCCTAAGTAGCTAGGATTATAGGTGTGGGCCACCGACACCAGCTACCACAGTTTGTATATCCATTCATCAGGTGAGGAATATTTGGGTAGTTTCTGGGTTTGAATAAAGTTGAATAAAGTCACTCTAAATATTCATGTATTGGGTGAACATATATTTTCATTTTCCTTGAGCAGTGGGATTGCTGGGTGTCTGGTAAGTGTGTGTTTATAAAAAAAAAATACCAAACTATTATTTGCCAGCTATATAATAAAGATGCTTGTCTTCCTTTAAAAAATTTAATTTTCTAATTATTGCTTTTTATTTTTTTTGAATGCTCTCTATATATTTTAGATTACAGTCTTTTATTAGATGTGCTTAAAATTTATTTTGGTATCCTGTGGCTTGTCTTTTTAGTTTTCTTAGCAGCACTGTTCAAAGAAGACAATTTTTATTAAAGTCTAGTATATCAATGTTTTCATTTATGGATTATGCTTTTGTTGTTATAATCAACATATTTTTGCCTAATCTAAGGTCACAAAGACTGTCTCCTATATGTTTTCTTTTAGAAATTTTATAGTCTTAGGTTTTATATTTAGGTAACACAGCTTTGCCTAATCTAAGGTCATAAAAACTGTCTCCTATGTTTTCTTTTAGAAATTTTATAGTCTTAGGTTTTATATTTAGGTCTATGATACAGTTTTTGGTAGTGTATGAGGTAAAGACTAAGGTCTCTACCTTTTTTGCACATAGATATCCAACTTTTCCAGGACCTATTTTTTTTCCAGCACCATTTGTTCAATGGCAATTTTTCCTTAAAGCCACTTTTTGCCGTGTCTCTTATTCAAGTAAATTAATGAACAGACCAGAATAGCTGAGAAGACAGAGTGAGCTATGGGCAGAGAGGACAATAAAGAGAAGGAAAGACTATGAACACCCATTTCTATCGTGGATAAATTATTTTTCAGTGAACAACCCTGGGGCATCTGACCAATCACTTAGTCTACTTCTTTCTGCTTCTGCTTTTGGAACCATCCATGCAGATGAATTCATTGGAAATGACCCTTTCACTTGTTGGCACTATGACTTTGGTTCTTTTACCAAGCAGGCTGCTTCTCACCACTGCGTACTACTGAATACTATGTTCTTATTTTCAAGCTGCATTCTATCCAAAATTTCTATATTTGCAGCTATAATTAATTTATTGTGATTGAGTATTACTCAAAATACCTCATTAGTTTGGTTCTGTCTGAGATTTGGTATTGGTAATGCAAGGTAAGGAATATATTGCCAAAACTGAATGGAGATACAAACACCAGCTTAAATCATTTTAATGAGAAACTGATCTTGGATAGATGGTTGCTTCTCGAAAAACTAAAGTCAAATGTCCCTATGCTTTTTACAGTGTAAATAAGGTAATTTAACACTTTTCTAGCTATTTGATACATGATGGTATAAATAAGAGGTCATTTCCCCAATTTAGAAAACATAACTCCTTTTTCTATATCAGGTAAAACTTTCCTTTATATTAAGCTTTCTTTTCAACTTTTGAGTCTTTTATTAAGAATGCAAACCTATTTTCTAAAGCATCTATACACTTCATGGAATGGGTACCACTGAGAATAATATGCTCCTAGTATAAAATATAGCCTCATCCTGGAACTGGGAAGCAACAGTGGTCTACTATATGTTTTGTTTGTATTGCTGCATGTTCAGAAGTCTAAAAAATGTCATCCACATTTTCTACTGCATAATCAATTTAATTTTATATAAGCATTAGCAAATTAACAAATGTGAAATGTCCAGTAGATAATGAAGATAAGGACTCTATTTTTCCTTAATGCATATTTAAGGCATTTGGATTCTGTCACTTACTAACTTCATTGCCCTGGTAAATTATTGAACATCTCTTGTCTTCATGTTTTTCAACTGTAAATAGGGATACCTTATGAATACGATTTTTTAAAAAACAAATGCCTAGCCTACTACCTAACACATAAGCACTTATTAATACCCACATAAAAATTTCCTTTTTTTGAGGTAATAGGGCTTGATCTCAGGGCCTTCACCTTGAGCCACTCCACCAGCCCTATTTTTGTGAAGGGTTTTTTGAGATAGGTTCTCGCCTAACAATTTGCCTGGGCTGGCTTCAAACCATGATCCTCCTGATCTCTGCCTCCTGAGTAGCTGGGATCACAGGTGTGAGCCACCAGCGCCTGGCTCACATGAGAGTTTCTGTTCAGAGCAACAAAAACTTTGGTTTAACATTTTTTGGCTACTTTCCCTGCTTAAGTGAGAGACTCATTTTTATTGGTATGGACCAAACTAGAATATATATTGACAGCAATGAGATGACTACCCCAATGTTCACTAATTCACTCAGCAAATGTTTACTGACCAACTACTGTGTGACAGGCATGGGTACTGGGTTATGGAGATCTAGAGGCATGATGTGGCTGAGAGACAGTGACATGTGGCAAGCTTCTAGGGTTGAATTTATGGATCTGGTATCCTTACACTGACATGTTTTATATTGCACATTCAAGTATGTAAGGATAGTGTGTTAATGGATGACCAGTTTTAATAGTAAGTAGAGATTTTTAGAAGTACTCAGTACTGAAGTATAAGTATTTCATATTAAAAACATAAAGTAGTAATTTATTGTTCAAGGAGATAGTATGCAATAACTATATATATGAAAGTGCCAACTTACAGACTGAGAAGAGAGAATATGCATAAAATTTATGCAATATATATTTCCTCAAAGGGGGAAAACTGGTGGCAGATTACTTACCTTTATGGTGCTTTTGTGTGCATGTGTGTATGTGTGTGTTTGTGTTTTGGAGGTACTGGGGTTTGAACTTAGGGTCTCATACTTGCTAAGCAGGAGCTCTACTACTTAAGCCACTCTGCTAGTCCTATATGGTGTTTTTAAATGTGGGCCTATTATATCAGTAACAACTTTGTAAAATAAGATTTGTTAAAAGTAGAATATTTCTTTGAGACAGAAAATGTAATTCTGAAATAGAAAGGAGCATGTCACTGACAATGAAGTCCAAAACAATGTAACACCTGGTGTGGGAGACTGGGGAAGAACCACATATTGTATGATTCTATTTACAGAACATGTCCAGAATAGGCAGAAAGATTCAAAGAAAGTAGGTGAGAAACAGAAAGTATAGATAGAAGGTAGATTAGTGGTTACCTGGGAGTGGGGAACTGAATGGATGGAGAAGTTGGGGAAAATAGGGTGAGATGCTAATAGGTCTGGAGTTTCTTTATGAGGTGATAAAACTGTTCTAAAATTGATTGTGGTGAAGGTTGCAAAACTCTCAATAGGCTAAAACCCATTGATTGTTTAACTTTCAGTGCGTGAATTATATGGTATGTGATGTATCTTAATAAAGCTCTTACAGAAAAGGGGATTAAAGAACATGTGAGCCCCATTCAATATATGGAACTTATTTGGGTTCTGTATAACAAAACTGCATAACTGCAGAAACAAAATAGAACAGATTTATGAGATAGTTGGGAAAAACCTGAGAGCAAGTGAAACAGAGTAAAGATGTGTTTTGAGTCATTGGTTTTATTGATATAATTCCTCAAATGATCAAGAACAAGTGTAAACTAGAGAAGTTGTTTTGTAATATGGTTCATTTCCATGTACCAGAACCTCACTAAGATTCAAATCTCCTTAAACATGGATAAAACATATTAAAATCTATAAAATTACCACATGCAAACATTCCATTTACACATTTCTTATTTGAACACCCAGACATCTGTCATATAGATGAAAAAGAATGTTTACAATATGGGTGTTCTCTAACAGGCAAATATATTACATCATGAGGTATGTGTCACAGCTTAAATTTCTTATACACAAATATTCTCCAAATATAATCTTTTCTTGTTTTGAATATTTTTATAAGGGACAGAAGTGTACAGGCATACTGGTTACAGACACAAAAATGGGAGTGGGCATTTATTTTAAGCACTTTAGAACATGTGATATTAGTCAACAGATGCTCATCTGATTGCTTTCTCCTGAGGGAGCAAATATAACTGAATTACCATTCCTTGATTAGTTCACATGAAAGAAAATCCTCTCTGCAACAAAGAATGCTTTCAGAACACCACAGTTAAAATGCTTTCTTTCTTTTTTTTCTTAAAATTTAACCCTACATTTATAGAGGTTAAGTGCCAATTTGCAATAGTTAAAAACGGAACAAAACTACATAATATTTGAACTTCCTGATGATTGCTTGAGCAAAGACAAAAATCTCTCTTACCATCCTGTTGATTCGTACAAAGTCTTCAGGTTTTTTTGCCCAGGGGGGAAGATCAACATCATTTACCACTACTTCATCTTCTCTGACTCCAAGATGATATCCGTTACTGTTGACAAACATCTCTGGTAGGTAGTAGAACTCTGGAATTAGTTCCTGCCAGGAATAAAAATGTGCATATTAAAGCACTTCAGAAAAACCAGTTGGATAAAACTATTAACTTATAACTTACTAACTATAAATGGAATTAAACACTTTCTTTACCTAAAACCCAATATTTTAGAAATCTATTCTTCATTAAAAGTTTTTTATTTATGAGTATGAAGAACAAAGGAAATATTTCTCCTCTACAATTTGTTTGATAACTTATGCTTATAATACACAATATTTTTAAATGTTACCCATGTTTATCTTACCTTGTTATGAATTAACATGGATGTACAAATAGGTATACAAATTAACAATAGTTCACAGTAGAATTAGTAAACATATGTATAAAGCTATACCTATAAGTCTGTTGCATAAACACCTTTTTCTGACTAATAACAGTCAGAATTAAAAGTGTTGATAGTATTTATTAAAAATCACAATATTTTTTCTTTTTTATAATATTAGCAATTACAATACATGATACTTATAAAAAAGATTCAAAGTTTTAACTTTTGACTTGACATAATACATTTTTTTTTTCAGTGTTAATAATGGAACCCAGGACCTTGCTCATGTGAGGCAAGCACTTTACCACTGAGCTATCCCCTTGGCCCCAAATAAATTATTTTTATACCTACTACTGAATACAATAAGGGGACAGTACACATTATAATCAGCTTGAAATATTTAATGCCACTGGAATGTAGGTTATTAATAAATTGGATGCAAACACAAATTGGTTTATATATATAGATATGACATAACAACTGATTCAAGACGATCTGCATGGGATGCCTCATGTCAAATAAGGAGGCTTACATACTTTGGAATAAATCTAATATAGGAAAAAACTGATTTTAAGATACTAAAAGTTTGTATTTGTTCTTTTTTTAAAGTAAAGAAAATGAAAAGCAAAACATTAATTTTATGCATATTTATAACATATCATTTTTTCTCAAATTTCAAGTTGAGGGCTAAATTAACTTTAAATTATATTCTCAAAAGCAAAAGACATTTATTTGTGTAATATGATCAGAGTTGACATCACAGTATTTGAAATTTGAATCTTACTGTGGTCTTTTCCAGGGATGCATTGAAAAAATTAAAACTGCTGGTGCTGGTGGCTCATACCTGTAATCTTAGCTACTCAGGAGGCAGAGAACAGGAGGATTGCAGTTTGAAGCCAGCCTGGGGCAATAATTCCCAAGACCCTATCTTGAAAAAAACCCATCAAGGGCTGGCAGAATGGCTCAAGGTATAGGCCCTGAGTTCAAAGTCCAGCACCAAAAGAAAAAAAAATTAAAATCACTAAGTTCTGAGGTCTTGAAAATTGGGTTCTTAATTTTTTTCTAAGAAAAGTACATACAAAAGCTTTACCTTCATAGGTTCTCCTTCTAAGACCTACATAGGTGTTATAGCATAAGTAAGTGTTTATCTTATTAATACCCTGTGTGAATGTGATCATGATCCATTCTTATAATTTTGAGCCTTAAGAAAAACATCTTTTTTGTTGATTTTCTACAAAATTATGGAACCATGAATGGGTTTATATAAGCAAATTTTCTGGATAAATGGAGCTCAGTTTTTTTAAGAACGAGAGTTTTCATCTATGTAAACCATTTAAATAAAGATCTTTCTAAAATTCATTATATACATCTGTGACATTTATTTACTCATATAATAAAGATTTTGAGTTCCAGAGACTGTGATGGGTATCAAAAAACAATGGACAAGACATGTCCTTACCGTCACATAAGGGGCTGATGTATAAATGGGTAATTATAATGTACAACCATAACAGCTATGGAAGGGTGGGGGTGGGGAGGAGAGAGCAGGGAACTTTGACAAACTTAGGAAATACTTCACCAGAGATGGGACATGTGAGATCACCACAAAGGAGAAGATCGGGGGAAGGGGCAGAGGACTATTGTGGAGGGCTATCAAGGAGTGGTAAGAAGAGAATATTGGGGATACATTAGGACTAGAGGATGAGAAGGGAGAAGGATTAGGGGGTCAGATGATGGAGGATGTTTTCTGAAGTGAGGCTGTTTGGATTTTGTCCAAGAGGCAATCAAAACTTTGAAGAAGAGTTATGGCCATGCTGAAATTTGTTTTTACTTAAAGAGACCGGGTGACGAAGCAAAGAGTAGACTCTATAGGAGGAAGAATAGGTGTAGGTGTGCCTGTGGGAGAAGAGGAATCAGCTGCAGCAAGAAGAGGATGGGTGAGAGAAGGGCGACTATAAGGTATGAAGAGGAAGGCGACTTACGTGAGACTTTGTCAAGGAGGGGTGACCTGGGACAGATCTGTCTGGGTTGGCAGGGAGGTAGTGATGAGTTGTGGTCTGACTCTTGGGCAGAAAGGAGGGAATTAGATAGCTCTCTCTAAGAGGCAAATATGTATTAACAAAAAAACTGTGTAAGATGTCAGGGCCACAATGAACTGCTTGGGAAGGGAGAATTCCAGTGAAATTAATATAAGCAAGTTTCCAAATATGAATGTGAAAGAGGGAACAAAAAACCACAAGTGATCCAACATGTCCATATGCCAATAGTGATATGGCTTAACTGAGGCTTGGACAGGAGTTAGTGGGTGCTTCAGCAATATTCTACCAACATGATTATAATGAACTCGGTGTCTGAGCTGGATTAGCATGACAGTCAGTCAGTCAGTAAAGGTGTATGATCACTGATTGGAAGGCAGAAGTAAAGAATCACTACTGATTGCACCTGATCAGAAATGCATAATTATTATCTTATGATTTCCATCTGTTAACAAAACACATACAGTTTTCTTCTGCTCTTACTCTCACTGTTTGGAGGAACACAGAGAATTAGTAAAAAGTCCACAGAAGCAAAGACTGTGGCTCTTTGCACATTTCCTATTCTTTATATGACACTGAATAATAATAACATTCTAAAAGAGCCAAGAGGGGGAAAGGCAGGTGAGCTCATTCAGTTGTTGGTTGTGGAGGGTGGCTTATATGTAATAGACTCACCTAAGTCAGGGATTTGCCTTGCTGCTTTCCACCAGTTATTTATGTTCATCTCCTATGTCTAAAACAAGAGTACATAAGCTTCCTCAAGGACAAAGAAGGATATATATCTACATAGACATAGCAACAACATGGATTTATTTTTTATCTAAATATCCCCAAAACGGGCTGGGGGCATAGCTCAAGCAGTAGAGTACCTGCCTAGCAAGTACACCCCTGAGTTCAAACCATTGTATGGCAAAAAACAAAACGAAATGAAAAATCCCTTAAAGTCTTAATTTATCTTCCACCATCTTGATACTCTATGTTTTTCATGTAGTATTTTCCATTCTTTCCTGCTTTAGCAGCACATAAAATATGTGATTATTACCTACCACTAATACAATTTCACTGAATTCCACTTAATTAGATTCACAAAGACACAGGAAACACAGAGTTTAATATTAATGACAATTTGGGCAAAAGCAAATTTTCAAGCCTTATTTTGTGAGGTTTTTATTTTGTTGAGTCCCTCATAGCTCTTGGTGCTACATCTCACATGCTGCAGGTGCTTATTAAATATTAAACCACTGAAGATATTACATAAAGGTATTTTAATATGACTAGGAATCTTCTGGGGACTGTGCAGATGTTTGGAAGAATGCCTCAAGATACAAAAAGAGCCATTAAAAAACTTTATTAAGTAAAAGAAAAAGAATGAACCCCAAAACGAAATCTGTACTTTTTGAGGGGAAATTTTACAGCATAAAACTGCTATCTTGTTTGTTATACCTATATTGAAAAGGTTCAGAAGTATTAAGGATTTAAATTTAAAATAGAAAAGGTTTGTTTTTAGGGGCTGGGGTGTGACTCAGTGGTAGAGTGTGTGCTAAATATGCATAAGGTTCAATCCCCAGCACCTACAGAAAAAGAAAATTAAAAAAGAGAAAGTGTTAAAGTTGCCACCAGAATTGTTCTCAAACCAGTAGGCCCAATTTCATTTTAATCTAAGCACTCTAGAAAGGAAGGCACTAAAAGTTGGCCCTCACTAAGAGGAAGGAAGGAAGGAAGGCTAAGAAAGTTCTGCCAATGGAAATTGAGAAGGGCTGGACAGAGGGCTCCAGCAGGAACATCCCAGGAGGCTCCAACTGGGGCCAGTCTTAGGACAAGGCAGTGTTGCAGAGCCTTTAGAACAACACCATACTTAAGGACTTTTTCTGGCCTCATCCTTATCTGGAAGACAAGGGTGTGGTCATAAATTAGGGTGTTAACTAGCTGTTGGCATAAACTGTAGAGATTTGATGCTTGAAGGGACAAACTCTTCCACATTTCCAATAGTGGGAACAGTCACTAAGCAGACACATTTTTAAATAAATCTGAAGAAATTCCTGAAGCAAGTTTTATTGGGAAAGGCTCCAGAAGCTTCAAAACACCAGAGTGATCAGTGATGGAAGCTGTCTGATCCCAAAGTAACAAGTTGGGGACAGTTTGGAACTTTTTGAAGGGTAGTGAAGAGAGTGAAAAGAGAAGTAGCTGAACTAGCATGGTAGATGTAAATTTTTGTGCCTCAGTTTTATTGTTTTAAAATCTTATTTCAAATAGCAGTTTTTACTGAAGGTTTGTATGCTAGTGCACATTAGTAGCATATGATTTATATTCACATTTATATTATGTAAGGGAGTCATTTGTTTTAATAATCATCATCTCTGAAGTCTAACTAGATTTTTGCAAGAGGATGGACTCTCAGACCAGGTTAACTCTGTTTATGCAATCTTAAAAGAATAGGTGACATTTATTATGTCTTATTTAATGTCCTGACATGGTTCTAAGTGTGTCACATATGTCAAAATATATGATATATCTATATATATTGGGGGAGGCGGTGAGACTGGGGTTTCAATTCAGGGCTTTGCACTTGCAAAGCAGGCTCTCTCTTGAGTCACATTTCCAATTTTATTTTTTAATTTTCACAAAAATTTCACGAGCCAGGTAATTCTCCCCATTCCCAATTTATAGACATGAATACAGATGC